TAGATAGAAATATATATCACACACACATACACTAACATTTTAACTTAAATAATCCTAACGTTTCTCCAACATACGACAACCCAATATAGAGTTTAAAATTATATATAGGTATTGTAAACTTACCGCAACCCGGTTACACCTCGAAGTCACGTACTCCCCTCGTGACCCGCAACCCGAAGATGACTCTGTACTCGACCTCTTCTTATGCATATGATCAAAGAGTTCCACACGGATGGTGGCACGCCAATTTTTTTCGTCTACATAGTTGCAAGTAATAAAACATGTGTTAATTGTATCATATTAAAAATCAAGCTACTAAAGTAATCGATTTATAAATTTTTTTTTTCAAAAATTATATTCGTTCAGAAATCCGTCGATAATTTTAAAAGGAAAAATGTTTTATTTTTATTTCTTTCCTACCAAAAATATATATAAAAAAAAGGTTAAAATTTTCCGACCGATTTCCAACGGAATTTAATTTTTCTTTATTAAAAATTATATTTCGTCGGAATTTTTTTTTAAATTAATGCTAATTAATTTATTTAAATAAATTAGACAAATTGTGCGACGGATTTGTGACGGTTTTGAATAAGTAAAAAATCCATCACAAATACGTTGAAAAACCGTTTTAAATAATTTTAATTTTCTTTTTCAAAAATTCAGTAGGGGATTTGTGGCGGACGTGAATAAAAGTTGATTTTTTTGACTTTTTTGGGATCCGTCGGAAATCTGACGGGAATATTTCCGACGGAATTCCGTCAGAAAATTCTGTCGGCGATACCCTTTTTTTAGTAGTGTAATTGAGATAACAACTCCTACCCGGTAAGTGCTTACAAGATAAATTGTTGCAAATGATGTCGTTTTAATGAAATAAAATCTTATCTGGTAAGTCAAGTTAAAGTGTTGATACTTACCGGTAAACAAGCACCGAATAAACGTTGAGTAAACAATCCCTTAATTGAATATGTTATTGTTTTTTTGATTCTCGACGGGATTTCCTCTTTGAAATAAATAGATCTTGATTGCTGGTGTGGATGTACCACCAATAGGGTTGTTGGAACTTAGTATGGTGTAGGAGAAGTTGTCCCACATAGGAACCCCAATTCTTGAGCATTAAATGAATCATTTAATTGCTTGGGCTTGGTGTGTGGTGTTCTTGGTGGGCTCTTGAGGTCTCGTGGTTGATAGACGGAGATGGCTATGCTCGATAACATTGGTTCGCACGACGGTTATTGGAGGTTACGGGCGGTTACCGGCGGTTACGTGCGGTTACTGGCGGTTATCGACAGTTATGGCGGTTACTGTTGGTTATTGGCGGTTAACGAGAAGGGTATAAAAACCCTTCACTGCCTATGTTTTCAGTGTTCTCTCATTCGACCAACAGACACGAAAAACGAACTTCCTGTTTCTCTCTCGTTCTTCTTCCACACGTATCCATCACCGAACATACTTTTAATTCGATAGATTCAAGTTCATACTTGAATAGATTGTTGTATCCTCAAGACAACACCGATTCACTGGTGCAATTTTTGTCTTAGGACACTGCGTTTAACGCGGGCCTCAATCGGATTTCTAGAACAATCAGTGGAATCACGAATCTACGACAGCAAGTAAGGTCTACGATTACTACTTATTTTGTTTTCCGTGTGAAGATATTACTCGAATATTGCAGTGTTCTATTTTGTTCAATATATACACATGTTAGTACGTTATATGGTTGATCAATCCCTAACAATCTAAGACAAAAATTTGTGTTAGGAGGGATGGATCAATCGAACATAATGAAAAATCACATGGAGAAACCCGAGAAATTCAAGGGCTCGGATTTCTATTGTTGGCAACAAAAGATGTTGTTTTACTTAACAACTCTTCATGTTTCCAACGTCCTCACCAAAGACGAACCATCACCACCGATTGGTCAAGATGGTGCGCCACCCAGCCAAAGGCAAGTGGCTGCCCATCAAAGGGCAATCGATGCATGGAGAACCAATGAACATAATTGCCGAAATTATATTCTGAATGCTCTTGACGATTCCTTGTATGACATCTACTCAACGTTTGGGACAACATGCGAAATTTGGGAGTCCTTGGATTCTAAATATAAAACTGAGGCTACGTGTTCCAAACGATTCGTAGTAGGCAAATTTCTGAACTATCGAATGGTTGACGGAAAACCGGTGATGAAGCAAGTTGAAGAATTGCAAGTACTTTCCCACGAACTTGAAGTAGAAGGCATGGGCATAAATAATAACTTCCTGGTTTGGTCAATAATCGACAAGCTTCCCCACACTTGGAAAAACTTCAAGCTTTACTTGAAGCACTTATCGGAGGATATTACCTTCGAGCAACTTGTTCTCAAGTTACGAGTGGAGGAAGACAATCGATTAACCGAAAGGACCGATGCCCTCACCTTTGAACCAAACGCCAACATGGTTGAAGGAAGCACTTCAAGGCAAAAATTTCCGAAATTCAAAGGGAAACAACCAATGACCAAGAGGCCTTTCAATTATGGGAAAGGTCCGATAGCTCCTAAAAGGAAGACTTTCAAAACAGTCATACATTGCTGGGTTTGTGGGAAACCAGGTCATAGAGCCAAGGATTGTTGACATAAACGTGATCATGGTGGTGCTAGTGGAAACGAAGGTGGAGGTACCGGTGGGGAAAATTCTCAAGCTAACCTTACTCACTCTCCAAACCAATTCATTGGATTCATTGAAGCACACATGGTGACCAACATGAAAGATTGGTGGGTCGACATCGGGGCAACCCGTCACATTTGCAATTCGAGAAGTTTGTTCGAGACATACCAAAAGGTGAAGGACGAGGAACCGATGTTCATGGGGAATGCATCTATCGCGATGATTGAAGGTGTTAGGATCGATTAACTCAGTTTTGGATATTAATTAAATACTCTGGATGATCTTTAAGCATTAACAGTGCAGCGAAAACAATAAGAACAAACAGAGTAAACAATCAATGAAGAACAGTTGATGAATGATGAACAATGAGAGAGTAGCTTCAAATGATTTTCAATTGATTGAAAATGTTAACAATACAATATGGAAGCACACTGAATTACAAAGGCCTAAGCTGCTATTTATACTCGTTCCTAACGGCTTTTYTGACAWGACCTAGACGTACAAATTCATCTAAGCYGTTCAAATAAAGCAGATTACAAACATAGTCACGTGATAAGCACGAGCATCTAACTAACCTAAGTAAAACAGTAAAGAAGTTCTTCAYAGAAGATAAAACTGCAGACCCTCTGTGAGCCATCCCAGAGGCTCTGCTGGATGTGACTTGAGGGCACTTGATTCCAGAGGATCATCTTCCAGAACCTCT